CACGTGTCAGCCAAAGATGAGCTACCTACTGTTGCTGTTAGTGTTCCCTAGCCATGGGGATAAGCATCTTATGCAGAACCTCCTGACCATAGGTTTACGCTGGTAGAATTAATCTGAAAATTTATCTGCCTGATTAATTTTATGCACATACAAAAATGTATTGTGAATAACATAAATACTGTATAATGAGATTAAGTAGCACATCTAAGATGAACAAAGTTTATTTCAGCATAAGCTTTTGTGAGCCAGACCTCATTTCTTCATATGCATAGTAAGAAATGAAAACTTCACACTATTATATATGCACTTCATGTTCTTTGGACTTAAAATAAAAACTGCACCCACTACATAAATCACAGCATTTATAACATTGCCACATCAGGCCAAAATTTGCAGGAAAAGAATCAGGTCATGATGGGGTCATGACTTTTCACTATATTGTCCAACAAAAAGAACTAAAAAAGGATGCAAATATACATTAAACAAGAACTTCCTGTTAAGAGCGGTAGAAAAGAGCAAGGGTCCAGTAGAGCTTTAAAGATTAACAAATTTTGTGGCAGACGAACATGGCTATCCATCTTGATCTGTTAAGAGCAGTGTATTTATACTCTTTTTCTCCACAGTGGGGACCCAAAATAATTATATGATTCTCCTTTCCTCCATTTTAACCTCACAACAACCCTGTAAGATATGTTAGGCTAAAAGTATGTGACTTGACAGAGTGAGGATTCGAACCTGGGCCTCCCAGATCCAAGTCTGACACTAACCAATACACCTTGCTGGTTTTGGCCAAGCTTCTGAGGAAAGTTGTAACATTTTCTTCCTTGGAGGTTTTTGAAAACAAATCTACTTGCTTCAGTCCCAAATTTACTACTGAAGCAAGCATAAATATCTGAGGTGAATACAAGGATTCTGCATTCTACATGTTTCAAATGAATAAATATAAGTTTTCGACTCCAAGAAAACATACTGGAAAAAGCAATGACTGGGGTCTCACAAAATGAACATTTTTTTAATAGCTGGCATGTACTGTATATTTACACGGAGCAATACAATAGCATTCTTGTGGGCAAGAAAGAAGATGCTTTTTAAATACCCCTCCTCTACAACTTGTAATTAAACCTTTGCTGAGAAAGTCTAGATCTTCACCTACTAGCTTATAAATGGCAGAAGTGTCAATCAACTACTGTATAATTTTCATTTTGAAGTTAAATGGTAGGATTGCAATGAAACACAGGGTGCAGTGCCAGAATTAAATGCCTACCTTGACTCCAATATGAGCCTACACTTGCTTTTTCAGCAGTTTGTAGACTTGCTAACACATTACATTTATTCCAGGCTAAGGTTCTTCACAACAAGGCAGGAGCACCAAGCTTTTACTTACTTCACAAGTAGTGTACAAATGTTGTATGTTCCTGTAGTAAATAACATAGTATTGTTCCACCAGAACTAAATTCCTCCTGCATTATTATAGGGAACAGAACAAGTAAGGGGTAGAAGGTATGCTTCTTAGCACAGTGCTTTCAGATGATCAAGCTGATTCAGTATAATACCTTATGGAAACCCTGACATCAATCCTGTAAAGCAGGTATCATTCCCATAATGAAGAGGGGAAGGAGACTGCTTCAGAATACCTGGTGAGATTATGGCAGAAGAGTCAAACTTGAGCCACTGATTTATCCACCTGCAACATATATATGTTGATTTTGGAGAATGTTAATTTGGTTCCTTCTTATAAGATTGTGCTACAGTTTCTACTGCCATTCCAGTTGGGTATTCAAAATGGTGGGACTTATCCTTTCCTAATAGTAACCCTCATGTAAATAAAAGGCATTTGCAGATCTCAAGTGTTATATGGTACAACTACCTGGGATAAATAGTAATTTGAATGCTAAACACATAGGCCCCAATCTGGCTAAAGTTAGTTGTGACTAAAGATTAGATAATATAATTACCTGGGAGTAAATCATTGTACCGACTGGTATTCATTTTTGAGTAAATGCGTAGCAGCTTGGGCCACACTTCCCATTGAAAATTCATAGTAGATCATTTTGCCCATATTAGAGCAGAAGGCTTTGTGCCTGATTAAGGAAATGTTAATGGACTGGCTTGATTCTTATGTAAAAGCTGAGTGGTAAATAAGAGGGAGAGAATTTCTGAAGATCTAATACAGTCCCGGTCACACGGAAGGTTTTGGCCTGAGAGAGGGACGGATCGGGGGCGCAGCAAACGGGCGCGATCTCACCGCAACATCTGGGAAGCAGCGCGCACCCGTCCCCGATCCGTCCCTAAAGCCGGAAAACCCGCTGCAAAAAAGAACCAACCACAGAGGAGGACTTACCTGGAATGCCGCATCAAGCGCGGCCGTGGGATCGCCAGCGCACCCGTCGTCCGGAGCAATCCAGGCTCCCGGCCGAACTGCGCATGCGCACACATGCGCAGTTCGGCTGCTGCACTCTTCCTTCAGTGGCTTCCCCCCCCCCCGGCATCTGCGCGGCGGCTCAGGGGATCTATGTGATCCTGCCGCCGCGTGTATCTTTTGGTGTGGCTTCCAAAAGCTGCACTTTGCCCGTGCTTCCCCCCGCCCCCCGTGTGGCAGGGGCCTATGAATAACTTCTGAGGAAGATCAACTATGAAATGGGCTTACATCTAGTTGCTCGTCAACTTACTGCAGAAGCTGTTCTACAATATCACAAGGATGGGACTTTTATGTCTATGTGATACATAAGGACCATTTGTATTTTTATGAACTATAAAATACAGTGGTCACAAATCACAGTAATTCTTTATACTGAAACAGAACATTGGTTCTTCAAGGTTGGTACTGTCTATCCAGAATGGCAATGGCTCTTCAAGGCTTTCAGGTAGAGGTCTTTTACATCACCTACTGCGTGCTCCTCCCCCCACAAAGGACAGGGTTTTATTAAAGCACAACATTTATTTATGACAGGTTTATATGATTGCTGACTATTCAATTGTCTATTTAAACATGCTCCTTTTAACTGTAGATAACCAGGGATTGAACCTGGGACCTTCTACATACCATGTAGATGCTACGCTATGCCACTGAATCACAGCCCATCCCAAATCCAGTGCTTGCACTTTAAAAAATAGATTGGAATGTTAACTCAGGATGGGCACAAACCAGCTCACAAACTAAAGTTCATTACCCATTTTGGCTGGTTCGCGAACTGAAGTTTGTGGCAGGTCAACCAACACGAACTTTCCAGCTGTTCATAAACAGATACATTTCCAGACTGTCTCCACTCAACCTAAATATTCACATTTCAAAACAGGGGTGTGGAACTTGGAGATCATGTACAGGAACATCCAGGGGAGATCCCCTGTGACTTTGATGTCTCTAGCTTGCACAGGATCTGTTCTGTACACTCCTGAACTTCATAAACCTGGCCGCCAAAATGTGGCAGGTTCAGGAGTGTATAGAATTGAACCTGTACAAGCTAGAGCCACCAAACTTGCAGGGGATCTCTGGCTGACTCGACTCTACCTACTGTCCAGGTTTGGTGAGGACTGGATTTACAAGGTCCAGGTTACAGCCCCCCCCCAAGGTGCCCCCAGGAAAGCGCTTTCTGGGGGAATGACAGGTGGTCCCCTACAAGTCACGAACCTCACAAACTGGTTTGTTTTGCTCCTAAAAGTTTGTGACAGTTTGTGGTTCACAAACCAGGCATGCCACGAACAAAACTGCATTTTCCCGGTTCGTGCCCATCCCTAATGTTAAACCTTCTCACCAATGGGTTATCATGTAATTAATTGACCAGTGCTTATCTTAATGCACAAAGACACATACTAGTCAAACCAAACTATTCATTGCTTTTTTTGTTCAAAATGAAGATTACTATACATGTAATAAAACATGTACTTGGATTAATGGTTACATCTGTTTCCATCACAGTTATTGCACTATTGAGAACTGGTCTGTAGCAGTGTCCCTGTGTATGTAGCCAAGTAAGACTTTCCTCAGACATGCATTAATGTTGATATTTAAATATCTGGAGAAGTTCTGATCTATAGTTAGATTGCAGTAACATTCAATCTATTAGTATACCCCACAATCTAAAGGGGAAAGCTACTTGAGGAAGACAAAACCTTGGCTGATGAGCATCAGCGCTCCATGGATTCCAATGATGTTTCATCAGACCACAGCTTAACATTAGGATAATTCCTAGAACTGGATGTGACACATGTGAAATGTGACCAACGTAAAGGATTAGAGGAAATTTTGATTTTTTTTTTTAATCTTGGCTTGCTTAGAAGCATTTAAACGTAGCTTATTAAAGCAGCACTTCTTTATAGTCAAATATTGTACATTATGCAAATAACAATGTGCTTTGTGGAAAATCTTCTAATTCAAATGAACATTTAAAAAAGAACAGTCATGATAAAATAGAAACTTGTATGAACTGTAAATTGTGCAAAGTACAGCATAACCTTTCTCTTCAATATGCAGATAGTCTAAGAACACAAAAGCTAAACCTCATAAAATATGGAATAAATTACTAATCCATGTAACCATTTGTGTTGTAAACTTGTCTGGAGCTGCAAGAGCCTTGTAAAATATGATTACATTTAAAAAAAACTTAATTACATGTGAAAAAGGTTCATTTTTTTGTGATGTGATTTCTCTGGTAGACATGAATGAATGTGAAAAATAATCAGCACTGTAGTAAAGTTCACATCATAACCTATAATGTAAGCAAAGCGTATTAAGTACATTAAAAAGTAATATAAGACTGCACATTCTAGCTTGCTTGGGTACATCTTTACTAGACTGTTCAGATTGCAGTTATAACTCACCAAGCCTTGCTGCTATTCATGGCAACACAAGCAAGTCTTATGTTCTTAACAGCAAATGCAACAAAACATTTCAAAACATTTAAAAATATTTATTTGGACTGGATCTTCTTCTGCTGATCCTTTTGGTTCATGGTTTTTCTACTTAAAATTATTTCAGAAACACATCAGATCTGATTTTTAAAAAAAAACCTTAGAAACAAAACTACAACATAAGACTCTTTGGGGGACAGGAAGAACAGAATGGGAAAGCAAGAGGGAATAATTTTTCTTAAGGCAAGATAAAGTGAAAAACATTCCCTTCCTCCATGATACAGGTATGAACACAAAAACATTTTAAAGCGTTAACGCTATCATTTCAAGTCAAAGAACAAGCTCCTTAACCAGATAAGCACCCCCAATCAGTAGGGTGGCAAACACAGAAAGAAACAGGATTCTGCACAATAACCCCTAACCGAATCATGGACCTTGTGAGTGGTTGCTTTACATGCATGGCTCCTCAAGGGTTGGGGCGGTTTGTAGCAACAGCACCCATCAGCTATTGGGGAAGGCCTGTAAAGAGCTGGATATAAAGTTTCTCCCCTGCTCCTCGCTCTTTACTCAACAGCTGATCAGAATAATTGATGGTTACCTGACAGGACTGTGTTTGTACCCAGCTTGGCTAAGGGTAAAGTTCTTAATGACTACCTTCAAAAAGAATACTGCCTGTCTAAGGTTTTCAGGATTGAGTCACAAAGTCGGAAGGTCAAGGATATTTCATCCATTAACCTCTCCTAATACGATCATTTAAAATTTATACACACACAAACACACAAGTTGAGCGGAGCTAACAAAATTCATAAGGGGCATGAACAATGAGAATTCCAGAGAGAAAGGAAGAGATCACCATCCTTACATCTTCAATGTGACCACTGTGAGGGAAGGAATTTGGGATCAGAGACTACTTGCTGAAGGCTGCCATCTCTGAGCCCATTTTCTGTCCCCCTGCAGTTGTAATGGAGGGGGAAGGAAGGGCTCAGCCTCGCTACATCCTCAGAGCAACCATTTGGGTGGGATCTGCAGCTTTTTGTGCTGGCCAGTGAAGCAAACTGTGCTCACTGCCTCCTGCCAACATTATTAACTCTGTGTCCCTGATCAAGGCTACTATGGTATGCTATCTTTCCTACCATGGATATTCCCAGGCAACAAGAGGGAAGTGTGCATGTACCACTCATGTCCTGGGAGAGTCATTCTAATCCTCCACATATTCTCCTACAAGGCAACGGAGGATGTACCATTGGTAGCAATCCCTGTATGCCCTTTACCATTTTGGTTCCCCATGGAGCTTCTGCATGCAAAGAATTCAGCTTTAATTCCACACAGCCACACCAGGGTGTTACGGGTGTCTAAAAGCACATCTTCTACCTGAGAGGTTCCTCTCTGTAAAATAATACTAATTTTTCCGGAAACATTTTAGCATGGCTAATTGCCCTGCAAATAGAATGATCTCTGTATATCCCAAATATTTGGAGCAGCCCTGCTTTCAAAGAGTAATACCCATTTCCAGTAAGGTTAGAGATTTGGTAGAGAAACCCATCTTACACATATTCCTCACCAAGAAAAATTGTTTGAAACTATATCATTCATGACCCCTAATACAGAGTCAGTTGCGAAAGAGCAATGATATTGTAACACTTCATTACAGTATATGTGAAAGTACATTTTTGTTGTTACAGATGGAAAGGATTTTAGGGAAGGTGGAGGTGAGAGGAAGGTTGCACAGTGTAGATTTTAAAGTGGCATAAGGCAATTCAGTCAGAGTCTTCATCATCAAGGTATTCCTCTGCATTACTTAAAGTTCGCATGATGTCTGTAAAGAAGAAACAACACACGATTATTCATTTTGGTACAGCTAAATGGCAACAGAGGTGACAACCAACCATCGTGTGAGGGATGTGATAAAGCAATCGTATCATAAAATGTGAGGGATCCTATAACCCACTTTTGCTTTCTGCTAGGCTTCTGTTGCTTTAAAGTCATCCAACTGTCCTGTTAAGGACTCTTCCCAATATCACCTGAAACCGTATTTTTCGGACCATAAGACGCACCTGACCATAAGACGCACCTAGTTTTTAGAGGAGGAAAACAGGAGAAAAAATATTCTGAACCCTGGGGCTCAGTATTCGGTCCATAAGACGCACACACTTTTCCCCTCACTTTTTTTGGAAGAAAAAGTGCGTCTTATGGTCCAAAAAATATGGTAACTGTAACCATCCTCATGGCTGCACAATTCACAAACTGCTGCTTACACATCATAATGTTGTCCCAGCTCTCTGAAAAACGGCTGAATCAACCTGTTATCTGAGCATCACATGTTCTGTGAAAATCAGGGTATTCTGTTTTAGGTGTCACGTATCCCTACTGATCTATAAATCCTTGCTGACTTCAGTGCAATATAATCCCTGTTTGCAGCGAAGAGACCTTTACTAACGTCATTTCAGATTGCAGCTTTTCGCAACTGTTTCAGAGTGTGATCTGTGGACCTTCACAATTAATTTAATACAGGGATACCTGGAATACTTGGACAGATATACTAGGAAAATTGGAGGGAAACCCTTCAAATCTTACCTTGTCCTTTTTTCTTTTTAAGCAGGGAAGCACATGCGGCATTAGTAGCCATGTCAAAAGCCAATTTTTTCTCATTGTTTCTTAAATCTGTTCTGGCTTCTTTATGAAAACAAAAGCCAGGAAGTTGTTAATTCATGGAAACAAGAAAAAAAGATTTCATACATTATATGGTCACTGGGGAAATTTCTGGTTTAAAATTGAAATTCTGCCCCGCCCCCGAACTTCCAATTTAAAGCATATGAGGCTTTCACCACAGAGATGAGAAAGGATAGAGTGCCGCCATTTGTGCCCATCAAGAATCACAACCAGTGACAATTTCCTTTTTTTTTTAAACCAGAAATTCATTCTAGTCTTCTGCTATGTATAATTTTGATGATTACCATAGCTAGCTCAGTGAAATAATTTGTAGCATAATTGTGATGAACTTTATAACAAAACTAGCATTGCCCCATCCTTCCTTTTAAGTGAACAAAAAGACCAAAGAGCCATGTTATAGATGAACATGCAGATTTTGTTTCACAAGATGCTATATACGCTTCAGAGGTAACAGCCAGTGTTGCCAAATGTTTGGAGGGGGAAAAACCCCATTCTGTCCCTTTCGTAGAGGCTTAATGGGATGTTATTTACCTGGAAATGTTATTTACTTCCATGCCAAGGAGCAGTTGCCCATTTCTACACATTAAGCCTCTATTAAGGAGACAGGACATTTTTCTTCAGATCTACTGCAACCTTAGTAGTAGTTACGGCTCACCAGCACTGATGGCATTCAGAGGGCTAGATCTATTCAGAATCCTACTCTGCTCTGTCCAGTGGAGTTTACTCCCAGGAAAGGTTTTCTAGGATTGCTCTGTAACAGTGAGTTTAGATGGAATTGCATTTCGGTTAACTAAAATGCACGTCTTGGCTGTGACCATGTAAATAATAATGTAGAATACACAAGTGACTTCCATCTAAATCTCCTTAAGGACCAATGAACTTTGACTTCAGACCTCATTGAGAAATGCTGTCCATGGAACTTGTCATGGTTAATGACAGAAGAATCAATGATTTCTTTGGATCTGAACTCAAGATGCAAATTAGAACTGCATTGCAGAAGACAAAACAAACCTAAGAAATCAGCCTGGGTTGCTTCCGGACCAAAGATATTTTCCATAGAAGTCAGGTTGCTGATGCGATGGTATGGAAATTACCCCTGCAACAGGTATTTTAGATGGCAGAGAGTAATCTGTTTTCTCTCCACTGTTAGATGTGGCTTCCCTACCACACCCAGTCTGTACTGAAGCGCCCCCCCCCCACACACACACTATGTTCTCATGTGACCCTCAGGATTCTCTGCCTTTTCAAATAGCAGGCAGAGGTGTGGAGGATTCTCTTCTTAAAAAAAAGAAAAGAAGAACAAAACCTCCAGGTGTTTACAGAGGCATCTCTGGACATCCCAATTTGCCCAGTTGTGCAAATTCCCAAATAGGGATGGGCATGAACCAGCTCACAAACTAAAGTTCTTGACAAAATTTGGCCGGTTTGGGGTTCAAAAAGCAAAGTTCATGGCAGGGCAACCAGCACATACTTTCCACAAACTTTCAAGCTGTTCGTGGCGGTTCATGAATGGATATATTTCCAGACAGATTCTCTCTGCTCAACTAAAATGTTCACCAAACATCAAAGCAACCGGGGAGAAGCAGAATTCTCCAGCTAATAGGGGCTCTCCAAAGCTTAACACGCACTGCTGGCTGCCATTAACTGAGTTCCCATTCTGCATTATGGGATCAGGATGCTATATATACCCTCAGCTCCATACCCTCTCCTCTGCTGGCTGTTGGCAGTTAGACAGAGAGGCAGGGAACTTGATAACAACAGAGCACATTCATTTATTCCTGATAGTGAACACCTTTCCCCTCTGGGGTTTGGGTGTTAGGTAATAATAATTATTGTATGGCAGTGTGTGTAGTATAGCCAGGAGAGCCTAAGATTGTCTGGCAGTCACAAGTTCTAGCTCCTTTAACATTATGCACCCCTAGGTGGTGAGCTAGACTTGTTCTTAAGGCAAGAGACGTTTCAGAGATGGTTTGCCATGGCCTGCCTCTGCATCATGCCCCTGGTATTCCTTGGAAGTCACCCATCCAAATACTAGCAAGGGCCGACCCCGCTTCGCTTCCAAGATCTGACGAGATTGGGCTAGCCTGGGCTATTCAGGTCAGGGCTGGCTGTTAGATGGACTCAGGGTTCTAAGCCTGGGTACCTTGGCTGAGGAGCCACATTTTATAACCCTCCTGATTGTGAACTCCTCTCTCCGGCTGCAGTTTGGGAGTTAGGTGAACTCAGTGCTCTGAGCCACCCTGTCTCTTTGCTCATGCCAAGCAGTGGGAGGCTGAGAATGTCTCTAACACTGATGGAAGGACAGGAGAGGAGACTCATTGCCAGGCAAGAGAGGTCAGACCACATGACAGCCTTGCGTGACCAGTACTCCAGAGGATCAGCATTGGCGGGCTCAGGGGACTTGGTGAGGTACTCCCACACCATCACCTCTGCCACTGCCCGCCTGGCATCCCCACAGCTGCTGACCTCCCAGTCCACCACTGACAACCAGTAATGGGGCTTCTCCCTGGTTGGGGTGTTTGAGGCAGAGGTGCTGGGCTGTAGCTCCTCCTCCCCAACCTCTTCCACCCTCTGTTGTCTCTGGCCATGGCTGTTGGCCCATAGGCTCTGTGCTTCTTTGCAAAGCTCACACTCTGCATTCAGGAGAGCAATGCTGCCTTTATTCTGGGGGTCACAGATACAGATACAGTTTGTACTCCCCTTTACTGCAGAGAGGATGCAACCTGGTGGTGATGCCCACCTGCAACCTCTTTGCCAAGGCCAACCTATGGGAGAACAGCCATCCCCTCAGAGCCCGGCTCCAGGACAGAGGACAGTGCCTGGTCCAGCCCTCGAAACAGGGGGATGACTTGCCCCAAGCTTGCCACATGGGCACACAGCACATCAATGGTGTCCTGGAGGGCTTGAAGACATGCACCGATTGAGAGAGGATCAGCCAGTCGATGGAGCCGATACTGAGCTCCTCTTCCCTGTGCAGGATGGTCATGGAGGAGACGACATCCTGCACTGTGCTCTTATGCTCCACCAAATGCGCAATCATAGTAAAAGTGGAGTTCCCCCTCCCCCTTTCATGCAGCAGACGGGCAGACTTGATGCTGCGTGAGAAATGGGCGGCCAGGTGCCAGCAGATCTCAAGCAGGGACTGCATCTCAAAGGGGGCAGCATCCCAGGTGGCCTTGACAGTGCTCCCCAGCCCCAGAGCATCCTTCACCAACAGCTGAGGTGTGTGTACTGGACAGACAATGCCCTTGAGGTGCACATCCTTCACTGCTGCTGGCACACTGGTGCTGGTGTCCGTGACCATGTAGCCACGGACGATGTTGCTGCCGCCCACCCACTTCCTCAGACTACTCTGTATCACATAGCAGCAATGTGTGGTCTGCATGCATCCCCTGCACATGGAGCAGAACCACTTTGTAGCCTGGTGGCAGAACTGTCTCTTCCTGGGGCCTGGGCCGTGCCCTGACAGTCCTGCTGGCTGCTCCAGAGATCTGCCATGAAGTCCACAGTTCTGCCTTGCACTCTGGAGAGCTGAGCCTTGACCATCGCCACTGCAGCTGGAAAAAGGCTACGTCCTTCATGAGGAAGAAAGGTTGGCCATCCAAAGCAATCATCTCACTGACAAGGTGAGTGACCGTTGCCTGGGCCCTCCACATAGCTGTTTCGACCTCTTGGAAGGTGGCCCGCCTTAATGTCCCACCCACTGCAGCCCAAGTGTGGGGAGCCTTTCTTGGAAGGGCCTCCTGCTCCCCCTCTGCTTCTCCCTGCTGAGAGGAAGTGGGCCTCTTCTTCCTCCCTGGCTGACACTCTTTCCTCTGTTAGCAACACAGTTGAGTGCACCCTTTGCCAGTACCTGTGGAGGACGGAGGAGGACAAGTGTTGGGGGGACTGAGCCCCTCTGGACATGGGTGTGGCACACCTGGCACACAGGAGTTACTGGGGAGAGCGTGAAACGAGTACCGTTTGCACCCACGTTCACCCTCATGGCACACAGAGGGGTTCACACTCAGGAGGGGTGGGAAGGTATACATGTGGGAGACCTTTTTTGAGGGTCCGTATCTGAGACCCCAGAAGTGTAATCTTCCCCCAACTTGGAGAGATTGTAGGGGAGCAGGAGACAGGGTGAGGTTCCCTGTGCACTGTGTTTGTGTAGCTTGCAGGGGGTCCATTCTATACACTTTTGAACCTGCACCTGACATTTCCCCCAAAAAGCACTTTCCTGAGGGCATCTTCTTTGGGGAACTGTAATTCAGACCCCCTAAATCCAATCTGCACATAACATAGAGGATCAGGGGGAGGTCCACTATGAATTTGATGCCTCTATCTTGAACAGGGCCCATTCTATACACTCCTGAACCTCTTGAACTTGCACCTGTCATTTCCCTAGAAAGCACTTTCCTGGGGGCACCTTCTTTGCGAGGTTGTAACTCAGACCCTGTAATTCCAATCCTCACCAAACTTGGAAGGCATGTAGAAGAGAGTCAGCCAGAGATCTCTTATAAGTTTGGTGTCTCTAGCATGCTGGGTGTGTGTGTGTGATGTTCTACCCCATCAGGAATCAAATCACTTTGGCACCTAAAAGTTTGCAACAGTTCATGATTTCCCAACCAGGCACGCCATGAACCACAAACTGAATCGCATTTTTCCAGTTCATGCCCATCCCTATTCCCAAATGAAAGAGTAATTCCAACAAATGAAAAGAGTGACTCACTCTTCACCAAAATCCTGCAAATACACTGTTTCCCCTTCAGCCCATGCTTATAGTATCCTACCCAAAAAACACATTTTTTTAACATGTTTAAAATAAAACAGATTTCTCATGTGGAAGGAACAGACTGGTAATAATCTGGGCAGAAAGAGAATATGATGGAAATGCAACCCCCCCCCCCCCAAGCTGGATGGCTGAAACATGGGCAATCTTTGGTGTGAAAGCAGCCATGTTTACAACAAACTGACCATGCAAATGTGTGTCTGTGATAGAGCATGGATGGATCAGTACCTTTTGCCAGCAACAATTCTACAATATCTGCATAGCCTTTCCATGCAGCAGCATGCAAAGCTGTATCTCCCAGTTTATTCTGTGAAGACAGAAGGAAAATAACTAGAGTTAATACATAACAAAAAGTTATCCATGCCAATGGCAACTAACCATATTAGTACATAATACTTACCTGTTGGTTTAGTTCTATGTTTGGCTGTGTCAGTAGCACTTCCACTATGTCTACATAAAGCAAAAAAAAAGGGGGAGGACCTCGTGAGAAACTGAAAATTGCTTTCTTGGACTCAAATTACAGCATGGAAGTCAACATTAAGACCAGCTAAAAATCCCCATATCTTTAAAAGCCCATGAAAGCAGAATTGGTAAAGTACCTAGGAAAAAACAAAATACAAAAGCGATGACATAACATCTTTTTTCTCCTCTCCTTCTCACTTCCTTGAGGTTGTGTAAGTCGCTCAAGAGACCCCTCGGGGTTCGAGCGGGATACAAGTCGAAAGCATAAATAAATAAATAAATTATATTTTCTATGTTGTTAGGATTAAGAACACTTGCTTTTAGATCAAGCTTTTTTTTTGTATTTTACTGGTAGATTATGCACTTAAAAATTAATATTTTCCCTAACTCAAATTGAATAATCTAGGAATTCTGACTCTGTTACTTGTACCAAGTAGTAGCTGCTCTATTAACTTAGGAAGCAGAGAATACAAGTAAATGGTTGGCAATATTGATTATGTTTCAGAATACCTTTATGTCCTCCATGGCATGCCCAGTATAAGGCTGTGCTTCCAGCTTTGTCTAATCCATTGACACCAACTCTGTTATCCAAACACTCCCTCAGCCAGCTCAAGTTTCCTGAGAGACAAAACTTGTATTTCACATAACACTGCTTTGTGAGTGTGTGAGTGTGTTTTTTTTGGGGGGAGGGGGAATCATTCAGTGAAAGCGACTGGCAAAAATGTTTAAATTCTTTTCAATATATCACATGCCCCTCCAGCAGAAAGTTACCAGATCATATCATTGTTGTGCGAATGAAATAGCTTAAGTAAATGCTACTTTTCATTCTACATTTTTCTTGAAAGCAAAGGTTTGTTTTTGATAAAGATCCCAGCCCCAAAAAGTTATGCACTTAAAACACCACTAAAACAGAAATCAATCATGTGTTGTGTCCCAAAATGATTTATTTATTTAAAGTATTTCTATCCCACTTTTCTGCTGATCACTGGGACCCAAAGTGGCTTACATTAAATGCAGGTGCAGGCAAAAAGAAAAACACTTATTAATAAACCCCACATATTCAAAATACTTGCTAAACCAATTCACAATAGCAGCAATCCAGTCGCTTCCATCACATAGCTCAGCTTCCCTTTCACAAAACATGTGCTGTACCAAGAAAAATTAGACTCCCTCTTTTCAATTGGAAAAAGAGTATCATGTTTAATCAGATAATTAATACAGAGACTGAATCATTTATCCAAAATACTGAAATTAGCAAAAACAGACCAAAAATATTCTTTTCTTTAAAAATCAAGCAAATACTCTCCTCCCACACTTGTAGCATTTATTTTTGTTTTGTTTTTTAAATTCCGCCCACCAGTCTAATCATTTCCACTAATTCAATGAGAACAGACCAAATGGACTCAAAGTAATCTAAAGAATTACTGTAGGTCTTGCTGCTATTGCAACTACCACTACCAAACACATTTTTAGTAATAGCAATGTGCTACTGACTCAGTACATAAGCCCATCAAGACCTGCATACTACAGACCCACCTCTTTTGGCAGCTTCATGTAGTGGGTTGTCAATAGATTCTGCTTGTTCAGCCACTAAAAAAGAAAGAAAGAAAACAAAAAAGACATTTCAACCATAAACAATTTATTTTTCTTGCTAAATGGCCCCGAGACAGAGGATACTATTTCTTCCCTCTAAGTTCCTATGTGTTTAATATTTCTCAACAACCCACTGGAGTAAAATATACTCTACAGAAACAAAACCTTTCATTCTGCTGTCAGGAGTTGAAACAGGAATGCAGTGGAACTGCACAGATTGAAGAGAAGCTGGGGAGATCCCACTTACATGAAACTCTGTGGAATTTCCACAGGTACCCTGAAACTCTTGTCTTGGAGATCCCTTGTTCTAAGTGATGAGTTGTCCTCCATCCATATGTCTATATTCTATCGCTAAGACATATTATGCAATTCCAAGGGACAGAGTGATAAATATTGAGCAGAGTGGGATGGATAGTGGATAGTAAGATTTTTTTAAAAAACAACAACACATTGTGAATGATGCTGCCTGCAATGAAACAGAATCCTTATGTTTTAAAATTTGGCACAAAAGCTAACTTTAAAAATATGTCTTTAAATAAGGAATGGCTCGCAATGGTAATCACAGTATTAATTTCTCAGTCCTAGGACAGTACTGTCCCTCCTTTAGCTTTTAAGCTGTACAAAGGCTGTGAACATCTATATATCTAATAGCCAAGGTGCCCCCTGCAATGCGGATATCTATATCCGCACATCGGGGGCACCTGGGGGGCAGAGATTTTCCTGCACATTTGGGGAGTCACGTGGGCCTCGCCGTTGGTACGGGGGGGGAGGCTCACCTGTGGCTGCTTATTTCTCCTCCACGTGGAACTCCCCCCCCCCGTATCGCGGGTTCCCCTTCTTGTTCCCTCTAATTTACCTTCCTAAAAAAATCTTATAATAAAATAGCATTAAAAATGCATTATCAGCGAACTCAGAGTCCAATGGCACCTTTAAGACCAACAAAGGTGCTATTGGACTCTATATTTGTTGTACCACTTCAGACCAACACGGCTGACCAACTAGATTTATCAGCAAACTGTTCTGCTTCCACCAGATGGTGCACAAGAGCACACAGAAGTATATTTCCTAGAGTGCATGCTCTTGAAACAGCATTTTACCATGGATCAGTGGCTGCCAGCAAGGGGGCTTCGTGGGGGCGGTGGGGCGTCAGCCCCCGCCGAAATTTTCAAGAAGGTGCTCAGCCTCCCCCGGGGGCCACCCTTGCTCCTAGCACAGCAATGCCTCTGGCCGAGCCCCAGCCCCCCCCCCCCGGGAAATTGGAAAGTCTACACCCTTGCCGGGGACCCTTGTGGGGTGTAGAGTTACTGTAAGGGTCCGTGACTCCATATGTGCACTAAGGATTTCATCTTTTTGTCTGCATATAATTTCTCAATCAGGGCTATTTTGGGGTAGGAACACACAGGAACAGAGTTCCGGCTGGCTTCAGAGTTGGCCACACCCACTACAGCCAAAACCTCTGCATGCGTGGCTACAGAGGGAAGGGGCACCTGGGCAAGTCCAAGGAAGACAGTTTAAACTGCCTTCCCTTCCCTCCAAGGGCTGGCTTGCCCAGGTGCCCCGCAGCCACAGGGCACCCAGGGAAGCCAAGGGAAGGCATGGGATGTGGCCTAATATGCTAATGAGCTGTGCTGTTGGGGTGTGGCCTAATATGTTAATGAGTTTCTGCTGTTGGGTGTGGCCTATTATGCAAATGAGTCCCTGCTGGGCTTTTTCTACAAAAAAGCCTTGTTCGCAATCAATGGATACTAAATAGTACAACTACTATCATGGGGGGGGGGGAGTCTGCAAAAATTTTGTGTTAGAAAGGGGTCCTTGTACTTGAAAAGGTTGGGAACCACTGCCATAGACTATACCAAGTGCTTATTTACTGGTGGCCAATTCTGGCATAATCTAGGAGTCAAAAGAGAATAGATGCTTAGAGATCTGTGACTGAATCTTTTTTTTTAAAGCCATTTGAAGCCCTGACTGAGACTGGGGCAGCAACAATTGCGGAGGGGGGGTAAACCTTTTCACCTTCAATTGGTTTCACTAATCAAAACCAATATCCCCACTGCAGTGCTCTTAGGAAAAGAAACAAGCACCTTGGAGAGGTAGTGCTTCAGTAGGATACTAGATCAACACCTGGTTTCTCTTGCAGGTATTCCTTTTAAAAGTCTACATGAAGGATCAGTTCCTTTTTCTTCACACCCATGCTAATGAGGTTTATCTTTAAAAGCAAAAGCAAGTCAAGACTATACCATAGTTGCTGGGAATCAGTCCAGTTCTGCCTTTACAGGTTCCCTTCCACCAATTTGTGTCACTCTGGAAGGAAAAGAATACAGTGTTGAAACAGGAAGCTACTATTCCACTAAAGCCCCCACACCGCTTACATAATACGACACTAGTGGTTAATATATTGTGATTTACAAACTCACCATATCAGAAATGTAGATTATGTCCCCTTCTTCAAAGTACAGTTCATCTGGCTGGAACAATAAACAGATTGAATTCATGTGATGATTTAAGGGTTTGCACATAAAGGAGGCACAGCATTTGTGGCTGACATCCAATCTTGAGCCTCCTGTCCCAAAAATCTTGACTGACAGTGCTTTAGGAAGAAATGGGTGTGGCCTCTTTCTCTCTTGCACCAAGGAGCAATGGCCATGTACACCATCTTTACATCTCACAGCAGGCTGAAGTTTAGAGACTGCTTTTCTTACAAACTCCATCTCTCCTTTCCCGCATGGAAGAAATTTTTAATTAAATGATTTTCACTTTTCATCCCCTTTTAAAAAAATCTTGTTCAAGCCTACTACCCAAAACTAGATTAATGGGTCATGCTGAACTGAAGCATACAATTTTTTAACCTATACGTCTCCTGTGAAATCATTCACAAACAGATAAAGGCTCACACAAATGCACCCACACACCACAGACACAGCCTACCCCCTTGCCTGATCTACCTCAAAGTCAACATGCTATTTACTGTTCTACTTCTTATGTTGGCTAGCAGTGGTATCTTGTTTTCTGACACCTGGAAATATGTCATTGCTCCCGGGCCTTCAGATGACAGAGCAGCCATCTGTTCTGTGTTACAGGGAATTTCAATGAGCCCAATACAGACATCGAAACCCAGCCTGGCAAAAAGCCAATTGCCTGGCCACCTCAAGTGAGTAAGGAGGATCACCTCACTGCATCTCTCTCTCTCTCTCAGCTAGGAAAGAGAAAGAGGTGACTGAACAAGTCCGGCTGTGTTCACCCAGGTAAGCAAAGATAGCAAGGCTGACTGGCATTCTTTCTGTCCATCTCTGGCAGACAGAGAGACATAACCCAAGCTGTGTTATTCCAGTCAAGCAAATATAATGAACCTTTCAGGGTGTTCTCTTTTTTAAAAATCAGTTTCTAAGAAAGACAGAAAGAGAAGATGAGCCTGTGCACAGTTTCCAAAGTGCAGTTCTGGAGGCTGTGGCTGGCCTGGCAATTTTCCTCTCAGCTTCCCAGCATTTTCAGAATGGAAAGGGAGAGGCGGGGTGGGTGGGTGGATAGAGTATAGCGTGGACAAGAATGAGTAGATAGTGGAACTCTGAAGAGGGAGGTTCAAGAAGGTTATCAGTTGGTAGATGACCCCACTTGTTTGTGATTTTTTTTTGTATTTACATAGATGCTTTCACCTTGATGCAAGGTGGCAGAGACCTAACATGGTAAAATGGTACCATTAAAAGCAGTGTTCCCTCTAAGCTGAGTTAGTCTGAGCTAGCTCACAGTTCTTTAGCCTCTGGCTCACACATTTTTGTCTTAGCTCAGGAAAGATGGCTCCAGAGCAAACTCATTTATGCAGATAGCCATACTGCTTGCTTACAACTTTAATGCCAGTATCTCACAAAGTAGAATTTTTGTTCACAAGACTCCACAGCTTAGAGGGAGCATTGATTAGAAGGTGTCTAAACCATATCAGATTGCAGGTTAAATTTCCCTGATAACAGAAAAACAGCACAAGAAGCAAAGAGAGGACACAGAACCTGTGCAAGTTCTCCACCTGCATGGTATCTGAGGTGGTAATTCCTTTCTACTTTGCCACTTCACCACTACTCCTGTATGCATGGATCAGGCATCTAAAAAGTGGTAAACTGCTATATAATTACACCATAACTAGGCTCCCATTTTGGATGGAGACTTAGCACAGGGGTTAATTCAAGCATGCAATTCACTAAAAAGACAGCCTTTAGAAAAAGGGAATTCCCCGTTTTAATAGAAATCCTCAGCATTTGCTCATTCTGCAAACCTTACTGAAAGGATGTATAAGAGAAGGTTACCTTCTCAAAGCTTTTTGCCAGGATGTAAAAATAGCCCTCTGTGTGACTGCACAGAATACGTGCTAAATTAGAAAGCATAAAAGATTCCAACATCTGAAAGACGTGTTTTGTGTTGTTTTTTATCCACTAACCAATGAATGTGTGCCCACTAATGGCACAATCCTAAACATGTCTACTCAGAAATAAGTCCTATGTTATGGAATGGGGCCTACTCCTTAGTAACTGTCCTTTGAATTTCAGCCTAAATTACTGTAAATTAATGCTTTCTCTTTAGTGAATTCAAATGGAGACTAACCACAATCTTGTATGACTCAGCTTTAGATATGCATTTTCTCCATGAGTAGCAATGTAACAGAAGATGAAGCACAATAACATTTTTACAGTCTTTCATGTTTTATATTCTGAAGTTATGAAACTACCCTTGTCCAGGTTCTCACATGCTTATTGCTGATGACAATTCCTTCACCCCATTTACTCAGAAATAACTTAAACTGAGTCTAGACCAGCAGAACAGGACCTATTCACACAACCCTTGGGAATACAGAGAGCCTTGGAAACTTGCTTGAAAAGACAACATGTGGTGGGTTTTAGTCCACAGTGAATTGATTACATACATGTACTAGGCTATGCATGATTCAGCTGTCAGCATGCATTGGCAAACCCCAGTACTTGCCCATGTGTGCAAAAAGCTAAGTCCTACACATACACATGACCAGTGTTCCCTCTAAGCTGAGTTAGTGTGAGCTAGCTCACAGTTTTTTAGCCTCCGGCTCACAGATTTTTGTCTTTGCTCAGGAAGGAGGGCTCCAGAGCAAACTAATGTATGCAAGAGCCAAAGCGCTGGCTCACAACTTTAATGCCCGTAGCTCACAAAGTAGATTTTTTGCTCACCAGACTCCACAGCTTAGAGGGAACATTGCACATGACCTACTTGCTTTTAGGTGTAGGTCATTAAACACCCAATCCTATAAATAAGATCTTACTCATGAGCATGTGCAGAGCATCAGATTGCAGCTGTTCTTTTTCTTCTACAGGCAAAAGAGAAATTGCATGATCTATATCCCAGTTGTATGATTACAATTCACAATTAATTTTCCAGTATTTTTGAAGGGAAAAAGGAAGATATGTACTTACTGTTCTGGGCTCAAATGTATACAAGGCTCTGAAGACTTTGACTTGCCCTAACAGAGAGGGGAGAAAACATTAAAGGCATCATGGTACTGCTTTCCCTTAGGAAGAATGAATCAAGTAACTGTGTGCCTGCCCAGACAACTAAGCCCCAGATCATATTAAAAACAAACGAACAAAAAATAATGTGATACAATGGCTAGACTGTTGGACAGACCAAAGAGACTTGGGTTCAAGTGCCAGCTCACTGACAAAACCTCTTAGGTGACCATTTAACCAGGATTTGAGTTATTTTCTTCCAGGTGAACAATTATTGTGGCTGAATAATTGGAAGCGTTACTAGCTGATGATTTAGGCAAGACAAAATCATTACACTGAGGACACTGAGCCAGACATGGTAAGCAAAATGGGGAAGCTGTGAAAAAAGTCATAAGGAAGAAAGTTAGGAAGAAACAGAAAGACCTTTCAGACAGAGCTACACAGCAAACCCAAGTTTCTCCTTCCTTTATAAACACTGTCAATTAATCAAAAATGTAAGAAGAGGGTTAAACAATGGGATGAAAAGTGATACCAATCCAAAATCAAATCCAGGTATTGAGAGGAACTGGTAATAGACCTCGGGTGGGAACATTAATAAATGACTGTACTTTTGACCAGCAAATAATTCCAGCACTTGATAAAGCTTTGTTTTAGTATTCAAGATGCTTCACATACATCACCTATCATTGCAAAGTAGATCAATATTATTATTAATAGATGGGAAGAGATGAGAAAATGGCTTCCCTAATTCCACAATGAGTTCATAGAAAAGGTGACATTTGAACTGAAGGCTTCTTGACTCCCTATTCAGAGCCAAAGTACACATGACATGTAAATGCATATAATGATTTCTGTTTCCCTTCTTTAAAAAGCAAAACAAACAAACAAACAGGAAAAGCCGCTATAAGTGGGTGATTTGGAAATGTGGAGAGAGGCTGTTGGCACAGTGGTAGAGGACATGTTTTGTAAGCAAAAGGTCCCAGGTTCGGTCCCTGACATCTCTAGCAGCAGACTGGGAAGGATATTCCTAGGCCTGACATTCTGGACAGCTGCTACCAGGTGGAGCAAATAACATGGAGCTACATAGGATAACATAAGGTAGGTTCATATGAATGGTGATGGCCAGAGTACTTCCTTCTGCATCTGTACATAATATACTGCCTGGCGCTCAGTCAGCCTAGTTCCCCTGATGTATTCCATTTTTTTTATAGCCAGCTTCTTTTGTTTTAAATGGGGTTGTGATGAACTCAGTCACTTTGTAGGGCAGACTAGCTGCTATCTTGCCCTCCCCTTTCTGTTGTTGCCATCACCTTAGGTAAAATCCACCCCCTTCATGGGTCACCTGAGGTTGATGCCACAGGGGTGCATTATTGTAGCATGCCAGGTAGCCAAGGCAGATGGGTAAGGGATTGTGCAGACTCTCTCTAATTAAATAACTTTATTTCTGCAAGGCACAAACTTCGGGTACTATAAAAACAGATCTAGAAGCACTAAGCAAAATAAACAAAAGGCAAATTACTAACTAGATGCTTAATCCATGGTATATCTGGTCTTTGTTAGTTGCATGATGTCCCCCCCCACCCCGTGCATCTGCAGCCTCTTTAGTATCATTCCCCTCTGTCATCCTTCATGGCAAAACACACAGGGCAGACAGCTCCAGTGTTCCCTCTAAGCTGAGTTAGTGTGAGTTGGCTCACAGTTCTTTAGCCTCCAGCTCACACATTTTTGTCTTAGGATGGCTCCAGAGCAAACTAATTTATGCAGTAGCCAAATCGCTCACTCACAACTTTAATGCCAGCAGCTCACAAAGTAGGATTTTTGCTCACAAGACTCCACAGCTTAGAGGGAGCATTGGACAGCTCCCCTAGCCAACTCAAAAAACAAACAAACCCAGACAAAGGAACTGCTCCCCTTTTCAACCCTGTTATGTGCTCCAGGGCCCTTAGCTAATCTGGATGTCAGGTCCTGGACTCAAGCCTGTGAAAATGTGGACCCTCCAATCAAGAAGTATTAACATAAAGGGCTAGTGTGTTTTTCCCTATCAGCTGGAAAGCATGTTTCCTATCCAGAGGCAAGGACTTTCCCCACATCCTCCCAGTCACAGAGACACCATGCCCCCCTCTATCACCTTAATTGTCACAGCATCTCCTGCCCCCCCCCAATGCCTCTCATCCATCACAGGGGTCATGTATAAATAGATATGGGTCTCCTCTCGTGGTTAGTTTGCCTCCCAAATTAGCTGGGCTAGTGTCTAATTATGCCCAAATCACTCAACTTCACACAGAGAAGGTGGTAACCCGCCACTGCCAACCCCTTGTGTTCTAACAGCATCCCAAATGAGTCTACGTATGCGGTACACACGGCTAGAAAGCATAAATGCTTAAAATAACCCAAACAATCTACATATTGAAAACTGCAGATTCATAGTGTTGGGTTCTGTTTTGTTTTTAATTTCCCTTTTTTGACTAAAGAAATTTTCCACAGGTTAAAACAATGGCATGTAGCCAACTAACATCATTCTTCTGACAGAATGGCATTTTCATTTTCGGAAGAGGGTGCTGGTGGTGATTTCTCTCACCTACCACAGATCTCCACTTTGCCCCCTATGTTGCTACTGAGGGTCCACTGATCCACGGGAACAAGATTTGGGGAGGCTTAGTGGGCTGCAGCAAGCAGGGAAAATAGGAATGTCCCACGGGGTTCAGTTTGCCGATGACTGGATACACACCATTGGATTTTATAGCAGTTTAAAAAAACACACAAAGAAATTTTGAAAAAGAAGCAGAAAGAGGTAAAAACAAAAAGGATTAAGAGCACTGATTTCATGAAGCTACCATTACTTGGAAGTAAATTCCACTGAAATGTAAATAAATGAGTTGAAGATCAGGTGTTAATTTATAAAGTGCATCACAATTTTCACTCCATTTATTTCCATAATAAACTCACAAGGGAGAAAATTATGACCTAATTACTTCAGTGTTTCCTTATGCTTACATGAAGAGAAACCACACAAGACCAGAGTGATTTCTTTTGGATTTTTACACAATACTGCTCCTTGAATTACATATTTTTGTAGGGTAAATGTGTCAGTCTGTTACCACAGGAAACAACAAACAAACAAACAAACAGTTTTTAGCACTTTAAAGAACAACAGATTTATTTATTGTAGCATCAGCTTTCAGGCATCCTGTTTCATCAGAGGCATGAAGCAGGTTCTAGCCCATGGAAGTGGGTGCTACAACAAATCTCTTAGTCTTTACGATGCTCCAAGATTCCTTTTTGCTCCCTGAAATAACAGAACAGGCAACAAAGAAATTGTTCAAAACCATTTTCAAACTATTTTTCCAACTCAAAAGAGGGATTGTTTAGAATTATGCCTAGGACCTGAAGTTCGTACACACAAAAATCAGTGGTTCTTAAAGATCAGATAAATTACACACACACACACACACACACACACACACACACACACACACACACACACAAATCAGCATCTGGTATGCCATTAAAATATTAGTTATCATAATTTAACATGTAACTTCCATATCCAATATGGGGGAAATGGTTCTTTAAACCATCTGAGATTTTTTTAATCCGCACAGAACTATGGGAGTGCTGCCTTCAACTAAGCACTAGTGTTTCCCCCCAACAAACAGGCTACTGTGTTTGAACACTAGGGCTTTTCTTCCCCAGTTATTTCCCCTTACCTCAACCTCATTGTATCATCCTGTAGTTCTAAGTTTAAAACTATTCCCTTCTTCAATACTTTTTACATTCAAGTGAGACTGTCTTCCTTATTCTCCCCTGAAACTTCCTTTCAAACATATACACAACAAAAGAGCCTATATTTAACATATGAAATTATTTATTTCAACATTCCTGGTCGGGCTGAACTTCTAAGGCGGAAAAGCTTTCAACATTGGAGGGGGAACGGAAATTTCTTCTGTATTGCAAGTAACAGGCCTGTGGTGGAGTGCTCATGTCCACTTAGGAAATGATGAAGGGCTGATGCAATACGAGGACGTCACAGGACATCATTATAGGTTTGGACTACTGAAGAGATGGTGCAATTCTGCTCATGTATAACGATATCGACAAGACTTTCTGAGAGGAATACAAGTCCACAACCTCTGAAATCTCCCTCTTTAAAGATAATATACTGACATACCTTAGAAGGTGTGTGAGAATTATTAAGATCATACAGATGAACACTTGGAAAAAAATCCTATGTATGCACTAAGCATCTATAAACCCTTTGGTCCTGCAGGTTCACGTGAAGCAATAAGACCTACCTGAGCCTAGTATCAGAATTCAACAGCTTAAAAGGAATACACAATTATTCCCTTTCTTTACTCTGCATTGCACATAACTAAGCTCCTGGGACCAAATATCTGTGTTTGATCAGACTGTAGGGGTCTTATTCTAGTACCAAAATATTTGGGGGCTGGACTCTGAGCTTGGAGCCTTCCTAAGAATCAGAGGTGAAAGACACAAGGTTGGACCATTATGACCCTTTTATGATTATTATTATTATTAAAAACATTTGTTGGCCACCTTTCTCACAACAATGATAAACCTATAAAAGTCTCAGATTAAAACCCCCAGTTAGGACAGCCAATAATAAAAGCTAAATCAATCAAAATGCAGTCCTAAATCAATCTGTCTTCAACTAACCCCTGAACGCTTCAGAAGTTCCTTTGGATGGCAAACATAACACAGAAAGGAAGTTTTTAGTGAATTTATCAGCTTCTTTAGTATACAACTTTTATTTGTATATTTTGCAGCCTTGCTACCAGAATCTGCATCGTATTTCTGAGCAGCTTGGATTATGGAGACCACTCTCAAAACAGCGTCCAGAGCAATCTAGCTGGAATCAATGGAACTTGTTGCTTCAAAGATGGCAGCTGGTGCAGTTTCAGTTGCTTCTTTTTAAAAACAAAACAAAAAGTGTTTTACCTTGCAAAAGGATTGGCCAGGACAATCCTAGCTAAAACCAAGGGATCAACAAAATTGGCCCTTGTCCTGAGAACACAAAAGCACTCTGAGGTGTTTAAAGATCCTTCCAAGATCAAGTATTCCCTCTCTTCTCTACCCTTTTTTTTTTTTTTTAAACCATCAACACAGTCTGGATAGCAGAGCATATAACAATGGAGTGATGAGTGATGGAGTGATGGCTAGAGGGCTGGGCTAGTATCAGCGAGACCCAGGTTCAAATCCTACTCTGCCATGAAAGCCTGCCGGGTGACATTAGGCTAGTCACCCTCTCAGCCTCACAGGGCTATTATAAGGATACAACTGGGTCTCCACTGGGGAGAAAGGCAAACTATAAGTGGCCCCTGCCACACGGCAGGGGAAAAGCCTCTAAAAGCGTGGCTTTTAAAAGCCGCGCCAAAGTTGAGACGCCGCGGTGGGATCCCACGGATCCCCTGGCCGCGGCGCCTTTTCTCCCTGGCACGATCAGACGCCGGGGAGAAAACATGGCCCTGACGGGGAGCCTGCCGAACTGCGCATGTCGGAGCATGCGCAGTTTGGCTAGGAGCCGGGGATGCGCCGGCGCAAAGACACGCCAGCGATCTGACGGTCCGGCTTGCGGCGCATCGTCCGGATGAACCACCTCGGGTAGGTGGTTCACTTTTGACGTGCCTCATTGGGGGAAGGGCCGGATCGGAGACGGGAGCGCAACGCCAGCCAGATCGCGCCCGTTTGCTCCGTCTCCAATCCAGCCCACTCCCGGCCCAAAACGCCTCGTATGAACGGGGCCAGTGAAATAAATAAATACTCTTTCCCCTCCCCCAATACATGTTATTACTTGACAGAAAAGGGGGAAATGACTGGCAATTTGGACTTACAGTGCATCCTAAGAACATTTTCCTGGGAATGCGGCCCTTTGAGTAGACTTGCATAGGATTCTGATTAGATCTGCGTAAGTTTTCTCTGGCACCAATCCTAAATTAGTATTTACTCAATATTTTGAAACAAAACTAGTATTAGTATTTTGAAACAAAATTACAATCCTGTAAGATGGAACAACATATGCACGTGCAAGGACCAGCTACCTAAATAGCTTTCCCCCCTCAGTTATTTGGATATTTTCCACAATGTTTTGTATTTTAGTAAACAGCAGCCCAAATATTAGCAATCCTATTGCTCAGCTTGTATATGCAGATTGATCACAAAATAACCACCACACAAATCGATCTAGATATCTAATGAATATTCACTTCAAATGATTATTAAGTATCTTAGACTTTCTGTTCTGATTTTTTTTTAATTAGAAGTGAATCTGCTGACTCTTAGAAGTGATCTTTAGTCTTCCTCCTTTTCCTTCCAAAAAGATATAATTCGAAGTTTCTATTGAAAAGCCAACATACAAATTGACAGACATGAACAGGAAAACATGTGACAGAAAACACACAACACCTATTGTTAAGCTTGCTGGAGGACATTTTTGCTCCTAGAATGATTAGGAGAAGAAAAGCTGGAATTTGCTGACAGAGGATTATAAAAATGTTATCTTACTTACAGCACCTCTTTTCCAACAGGAATCTTGGACAGTAGGTGACAGGTCATAGATTTGAAAAAGGTGATAGATTTGAAAAAGATTCAGTACCTTAAAATTCACTTTATGTAATCCCATAAGTGTGTGCAATAAACTGGATGGGGAGCTTCATTCATTAGAGTGAACTATAAATCTCAAATAAAAGTGCACTAATCTTGCATTTAAATTAATCCAATCTTATTTTTTTCAGTGGGATGAAACTGATGTTTGTAAATTCATGTCACAGGTAGAGAATTAAGGAATCAGAGGCTTCTGAATCTGCCACCATTTGCTATTAGGACCCTCAAAACTGCCCATCCAACTGGGGACTGATCAGGTTCTTCTGTCAGCCCAAGCAAAGTACGCCAGTGCTTCTTTTCATGCCAAGCTGACCAGGAGCAAACCAAGCCCCTGTGGTGTGGTAGTGCTCTCCCCACTGGCTGCGCCAACCAGCTGACTGTGTGGTTTGGATAGAGAACTAGTCCTGTTCCCAGTCCTTAGACATGCACAAAGGTTATTGAAGAATGTACTGGGCAATAGCTTGGCAACTGTAACATATACAGTCTCCCTCTCTGGCTTGCTACAAAGGGCAAAGAATGTCTCAGTAGCTGGATGCAGGCATCTCATGTCAGCTGCCTGCTTGGCATCTCTCATAGGCCCATTACATGGGACAAACGGGACAGCCAGGGTTGTACAGTGGTTAGAGTTCCTTCTAGGATATGGGAAACCCAGGCTCAAATTCCCACTCTGCCATTGAAGCTTGCTGGGCGACCCTGGGCCAGTCACACACTCTTGGCCTAAGCTACCTCACAGGAGAGTCATCGTAATAAAACGGAAGGGGAGAACAATATAATTCACTTTGGGTCCCCATTAGGGTTGACAACTCTGTCTTGGGAAATTCTTGGTGTCTGGGGAGGCAGAATTTGGGGAGGGAGCTCAGCAGGGATGTGATGCAACAGACTACTTTCTGAAGCTGCCATTTTTGCCCAGGTGAACTGATCTTTATAGATCAGTTGTAATTCTGGGAGAACTCCAGTTCCCATCTGGACCTTGGTAACGCTAGTTCTATTGAGGAGAAAAGTGGAGTATAAAAAAGTAAAGTATAAAAATCTAAATAAATATATAAATAAATGCTGGTTCATCCATCCAACAGTGATCTTGTAGGAAGCAGCTACTCAAAACAATTAGCAGCTACTCAAAACAATTTATACTTCAATAGAACAGCTCCCTCTAGAAGAGTGGTATGTACTCTAAGGCTCATGAAGAGCCACATTCACACTCGGTGGAAAGTGCCCTGAAGTAGCAATTAGCTTATGGCAGTGATGGAGAACCTTTTAGAGACCGAGTGCCCAAACTGCGACCCAAAACCCACTTATTTATCGCAAAGTGCCAACACGGCAATTTAACCTGAATACTGAGGTTTTACTTTAGAAAAAATAACCCATACATTAACTTAAGATGATCCAAACAAAGTAAGGAAAGCAATCCCAAATGCTTTCATTTACTTAAAATTATTTGGCAGAGAATTCGACACTTTAACAATGGTCTGGGCCTGGCTGGGGCAATGGCATGTGTGCCCACAGAGTGCCATAGGTTCGACATCACTGGCTTATGGCAACCCTGTAAGGGTTTTCAAGGCAAGAGATGAACACAAAAAGAGCCACATTCACTTCCATCCTTGGCATGAGGCTCACAGCTTATCCCTGCCTCTACCAGTGGCTGTTTCAATGTGGGAACGCCTAGTAACCAGGCAAGACCGTGCCCACTTCCCTGAAAAATGGGGAACAGTGCCCAGAAGAGCCACAAGTCAAAGAGCCACTCAATATCACTACATTAGAATTTCAATGACAGAGCAAATCTTAATTGGGAAAGAGGAAAGTTCTGTGTGTGCGCACATGTCAGACAGGGAACACACTTTTCACATCCTAAAGACCGCAGTGCATCTCGGGCTAGTACTTATTATTATTTGCCTTGCAAATATTTGAGATAGGGAACTTCGGAGCACTTAAAAAATCCTGCAATGCCAGAACTCTATACAATAGTCGTATTTTGCTACCTCAAAAGTATAACTGCCAAGACAGGCTGCTTGTAGGAACACCTCCATTCTTATTGTCTCCCCACCCTCCCAGACAGGGGTCGGCTGAGCGGCTCCAACTTTTTTCTGTCTGTGGCACGCCTGATGGTGCCACGGGGGTGGGGAGACGGAAAGGCTTGGCGCTCAGTCTGCTTAGTAAGCCGCATTAATGCATCAGACGTGGAGCCACCACAAATGTCCCACAGCGGAGCGTGTAAAAAGATCGCACGATCGATAGCAGTTGCATTAGCTGTTCTGCTGCTGGGCGGCTAGTGCCGCTGCCGCCGCCTTCCACAGCCCGCCTGAAGGATGCAACACTTCCTGCTCCTCTTTAGGCCGGAGGGGAGAACGACGCTTTTCTTCTTCTTTTTTGACACTAACAGCTTTTTGCGGAGCCACACCCCGGATAAAAGACACTCCCCTCCCCCTCTTCCAAATGACCAGCCCCAGAGTGCAATCCTTCACCGAACGGTGCCAATGAGACCAAGGCGGCGAAGGAAATCACTCTGGGTGCCAAACGCCTAACTATTAATCCGGATTAAGCATGTCCTGCGCTCCTTCAGTGGCAGTGACTGCTAAAAAGCACAAGCCACGTGTGACGTGTCAGTAGGCACTTCTCCCCCCTCCCCCCCCCCCCCCCGGGCAAGCATGCAACGATTAGCTGCTTCCCCCTTCCAAGCCGGTCGTCTCCCTGCCTCCGTTCTCCCGCAGAGGGGCTTCACGGGAGAGCCCGAGAGGTTCAAGATGACGGCTACCAGGAAGAGGAGGAGGGACTGGGACGCGGGCACCTCCCTTACCTGGTTTGGCTGGTTTAGGTGGCGGCTTGGACATCGCTGTGCAGAAGTTGCAGGGAGAATCTTTTATGCCGGCGAGTGAAGCGCTGGGCTCCTGGCTTCCTTCCCCGGGAACTCTGCCGCCCTTAGCACAGGTTCGGCGAGTCGGGACCGAGAGCCCTGGGCGGGTTTGGGTGTCCTGGTGAACGTCCCAGCCGAACGCACAAGTTGCTTCTGCAGGGATGAGGAAGTAGGGATCGTAGCGCCAGCGCTAGCAAACGGGGACACTGAGCGCCGCTCCCTCTAGAGCCTGCAAGGCGCCACTGCGAGTATTGAGAAACTGCCAGAGAGACACCGAGTGAGCGAGCAGCGCCTTGCACTGGACAAATCAGCCCAGAAGGTGGCTCGCCCGGGGAGGGACGGATGGAAGAAGCGAGCCAGTCACAGCTCCCCGCTTCTCCCGAAAGATGGGTGGGATGAATCTCTGTGACAAGAGGAGGGGGCTGTTCCGCGTTCCGTCCAATCAGAGCACAGCAATAGGATCTGCCGGCCCGTTGTATTTACATAGAAAACAGTTAATCTCTGCCTATGTTGCACCGCCTCCCATAGGGCGGGGCTAAGGCCTTTTAAGATAAACGCAAAGGGGTTTACAGAGGTTGGTGTTGTCGTAGCGTGGACGATCGTTTTCCCATGGTTATTTATAAAACAGGTAAGGGAAGCTGGTTTCCGTAACAAGCGATGAAGTCCTTAGTTATTTTACTGCATCCTTGTTGAATGAAGTTGGGAGTCCAGTGGCACCTTTAAAACCGACAAAGTTTTATTCAAGGTGTACGCTTTCGTGTACACACACACTTCAGATCCAGACATCTTTGTTGGTTCCTGATGTAGCTACTTCGTAGGCAATTGTAATTGAAGCCCTTTTATTATAAGTGCATAGCGAATAGTGATATCTCTGCTGATTTGACCCCTCTGCATGGTGTATGAGGAAAAATGGCTCTGGTAAGTACCCAAAACTTCAGAAGTGTATGAGTGTGTAAATCTACTGTTGTATTTTCTGCTTTTGAAAAATGTAGGCATAAGAATGCACTTGAACCGCCACCCCTCTTTAAAGTTGTTTCTGTGCTGTATTGCTAAAGGCTGCTAAAAGCAAGTTTCATTTAACTAATTGGGACTTGTTTGGTGTTGGACTTAACAGGTTCCTAAAATACATATAGAATTGAACACTCCGGAGAGCTCTTATATGTGCAAATTATAATTCTTGGTGAGGCTGCTAAACAACAAAGCCTCCTCTTGTATTGAGTAGCATGTTCTAGTCAGCGTTTGGGACCAATTAATTGCAACCTGACTCTTGTAGAGGTAAATGTGAATAGTTTGAGAATACATCTGGGGTCACCAAAAGAATCAAGCCATGTATCTAATAGACAAGAGTGTACATTGCAACTTGCGTTGTCTATTTTTTCGTACAGACTTTCCTCCTTTGATCTTTTTCAGTTGGGTAGTTATATTAGTTTTATACAAAAAAGAGTCTTGTGGCACTTAATGATTACAAACTTACTAAAGCATAGTTCATTGTCAGTTTGTTTTGGAAGTGTGCCCTGCTGATATGGAACTTTTAACTTGCATCACTGCCGAGGTTCAACACTGTCATTGGCTTGGCAGCAGTTGATTCCTAAGAGATCAAAGACCAAGTGTCTGTAACATATTCATCTTTAGCTCTATTAGTGTTCTGTAACGATAGTACTGTACCTAAAAGTATTGTATCAGAATTATCCTGCTTTCACATGGAAATTTTGTGTCCAAACTGGGCTGGGTTTTGTAGAGCATTCACATGATGTTGTCCCCTAATCACCCATTTTCTGTGCCTCCTCTCCCCCACTCGTATCTTTCTCAAACCCGGTTTGGTAGGATCTTTTTGGAAAGATCATATTTGCACACTGAGTGTGCATTTTTGCAGGCCCCACCCACAAAAGTGCTGTTATTCTTGTCTTAGCCCTGTCCCCCTCCTGCAGCTGCTATTTCCACAGCACCATGGGAGGGTTTAAAAAAACACACCAGTAGTTGACATATCACCATAGCTTAATGCTGTAGTGATATGACAACCAACATTTTTTAAAAAATCTGGCGTTGGAGGGATGGTGCCTGCAGAGGGCTGGGACAGGAAAGGTGTCTATTAGCCACATCAGTGGCTACTACAAGGTATAGATAGGGACTCTGGGGCAAGTGATGCTCTGTCATCTTGGTGCTTGGGGGGGTCAACAGTGGGATGGCTTCTAATGTCCTGGCCCCACTGGTGGACCTCCTGATGGCAC